AGCTCTAGTAACCCCCACACTGGCAGCAACAGCCAAATGGCTTAAGCACAGTGACAACAAATAACCCTGGAGTTATAGGTTGTTAGGGACATAGGTAATTTAAAGAGAATCTAGACCAAATTCCTGAAGCAGAGGTCAAGACAGTGAAATTCTAAATTTGGTCCTTTTTCAAAAATCATATACTAAGTGCTTATCACCTTCCACTTATCACTTAATGATAATTCTGAGTATTACTGATCAAGAGCTCACCACGTTCCAGGCCCTCTGCTAAGTGCCCTACATGGATGATCTCATTCAACTCTCAAACAATGGTAAGGGAGCGAGACTATGGTTGTTTCCATTTTATAACAAGTGTTCAGTGACTCACCCAACTGTCATACGGCTGGTGGTGGGGAGGCCTGGGTCTTCTAACTCGTAGTTCGCTGTTCAATCCCTTACTCTACAATGACTCTCAAGCGCAAGTCCTCTAAGTTACAGCTGAATTACTTATTTGAAAATAGCCAACACATCTTTTACTTATCAAATGGGTTTCTAATGTTTCCATTGAACAAAATTTGCAGGTTCACTATATATAACTCTTTATGAGACTATTTTTTCCCCCAAGAGCTTTCACTAAGTGCCTGTTCCTGTCCTGCTCCAGAATTTAACACCCACTGTGCTGTAGCCCAAAGGCAAGATTCCTTCTCCCTCACCCTTTCCCTCCAACAAACATTTCTGTAGGACAACGTGAGGCAAGTAGGAAGTTAGGCTTTGAAGGGAACACAAACATGAACACATGCTTCCCATTTTCCAGGTACCGGCAGAAGGTATGATGAGGATGAACATGCCTATGGCACGGGGCAACCCGTTATCAGTGTACTGTAAAGATAGAAGGCAAAATTAAATGCTCTAGGAATTCAAATCTGGACTTCCTTCTATAGGCTCCAGGACAGAGAAGGCCCTTGAGGTAGGCCTTGCAGGAGGAGCAGAATTTCAACAAGTATATGTGGAGCCTTTCCTAGACTGGCTCATAAATGCTTCCCATGTTCTGAGTACCTAGCTTGTGAAATACACAGGGTAGGACCTTAAATACATTTTCTAGTTGGCTACTAGCCACTTGGGGCTAGACTAGAAATCATGAACTTGGTCCTGCTGCACCACTGGAAATAAATTATATAAATCCTACCCCACCTCTGGGCCTGGGTTTCTCCCATATGAAATAAGAATATGGGTGGGAGTGGGAATACCCTTGCGCATGGGTCTCTGGTTAGTATTACCTGAAGTTAATATATGCAAAACTATTCACAAGCTAAAATGAAATATGAATGAAAATGAAAAATGAAAAAATGAAATGAAATAAAATGAAATACAAGAGACTATCTGTCACTGTCGTTATTGTTGTTATAAAAACTAAAAAGAAACAATATCTAATGTATGTGTCATTTATCCAACAACCTTTTCTTGACTAACTACACTGGGCCAGGCACTGGGAAAGGAGACACTGGGGACAGGACAGTTGATGGAATGAGTTTAATGTGCTAGGACAAAGGCTGGTCTGCAGCTTGGCATGAGTTCTGCTCTTTCTTAGTGATGGTGCGAGTAGATGGAAATGCTAAAGGTAAAAATGTCAAAATCAGGAATTCAACTGGTATGCTCCAGTATATAATGGGGTTAAAGGTAAGGGGAATATTTTTTTAAGGTTTGAGCTTAAACTGTGTTTCAGGCACTTTCATACCCATCATCTTCATAAAAAGCTAGGTGGTATTATACCCATTTTATAGATGAGGAAGCCAAGACTCAGGGAGGTGAGGTCGCTTCCCAAGGTTTGTAAAACTAAGGTGTAAATGTAAACCCTGCTCATCTAACTGCTTGGTGCCTTTCCCAGCTCCTCATTGCTTTCTAATCAGCTAATTCCTTATAGAATTCATTCCATGCTAATCTTGAATGGTGATCTCTCTTGGGTTGCTTTTCCAAGGGCAAAAACTGATTTATGATAAGAAAGACTTGACAGTAACTCCTTCTATTGTCACGTCCTCTTATATATCCTATGATAAATTCCTTCCTTCTTACTACTCTCTCCTGACTCTTCCCTCATCTCCAAGCCCAGTGAAACCGCCAAGGATTAAAGAATCCCAACAAATGAAGAACATGCAGAGAGAGAGAGATCCCTGCCTTCTTAGCTGCTGCCCTATAAACTGGGGACAAAATGCACTGAAAGGAGGAAGAACCTGGCCATACAGTTTTGTTCAGGGAGTCCATCTAGACCAAAACCTGTCCATTCCTTAGTTCTGTGGAGCCATCAAGAACCTATGATCTATAGAAACCTATATGATTGTCAGCCTCACCTATTTTACAGATAATGAAAATTTAAACCCTAGAAAGTAAAAGGACTTGCCTAACGTCACATGCTAGAGAGAGGCAGTATGAACTGGAATCCAAGTCTCTTGACTCCCAAGACAATGCTTTCCCACTAAAATAGGTTGTCTCTTTAGCTTTTCTCCAATATCTCAACTTACATGAGATCATGGCCCTTTCAAAAAGATAGCTCAGTGTTAATGTCTCTGCAAAGCCCAGAAGCCAGGGCCCCTCTCTCAACCTGTGCTCTGATCAGCTTATGGCCTCCTCCAAATAACAGGAAGTAGCTTCATTTTTAGCTCTGAAAGCACATTCTGGGAGTCAGAGTGGGACATTTGGGGAAGAGAGTTCCTGTATATGATGGTCAAGAGTGATCAGCAGACACATTACTCTTGTGTGAAGGGGAGGAAATACAGTCAGACATGTAACGGGAAGATGTAGCTTGTCCTTGCCTCCTAACCAGAACATGTCCTCAGCAAGAGCTTTCCAAAGCCCCTGGGTTGAGGGAGGGGAGGAGTCTCCTCTGATTCTGTTCTGATGGGGCTGGATTCTAAAGTGGGGGCTGAGGTAGGAGGATCAGGGTGGGAAAAGTTTTCAGGAACTTTCTACAATTTCCAGTGCTTCCCCCACCCTCTGCTGTCACCCGCAACTTCCCCTGCCAAGGGTGGAAGGAGGAACACATTATTCAGTTTAATAATTTATACAAGTTGGAAGGTTTACTGTGAAATAAAGGGGGCTTAAGAGGGCAACAGATAAATAAAAATTCCCGAGTTCTCTCTTAAAGGATGGAGATGTCAAGATGACACCTCTTGATGACTTCATCTAGAATATGACTATCTAATAGATGGATTCAAGCAAGTAACCTTCCCCTATGTAAATGGTCGCCAAGCTTTGTCTCCTTTTACTGGTGGGACCACATCCAATCTTAGCACTGATAGCCTGGGAGAGACCTAGATTCATGGACACTTGTCTATGTCAGTGGTTCTCAAACTTGGCAATTCATCAGAGTCATCTGAGGAGCTCATTACCAGGATCCAACCCAAAGATTAATTAGGTAGATCTGGGCTATGGCCTAGGAATCTTCATTTACAACAAAGAGACATGGTTTAAGAACCAATGATCTGGTTCAATCTCATTTGTTCAGCTCTCAAAATTTTACATATGAGGTTGGTTTTACAGCAAAGAAAACTGAGGTGTCAAAAAGTAGGTTAGTGGTAGCATTTGGACTCAATTCAGTCTCTTGCCTCCTGGTGTGATGTCTTTGAAAATGCCTTTACACATGGTTTCTCTCCCCCAGCTCACCAGTCTATTGAGAACCCCTGAGGATCAGTGGGGCCCTTTCTGCCAATGCACAGAGCAGTTGGAGCTGCCAGAAGCCCTGACTGAGTCCCCACTTGGTTCATTGGTGGAAATGGCTGGTAAGGGGTAGGAGTAAAGGTAGTTTTAAGGGCACTCTCAGAAAGCTGTGTTCTGTTTCTTGATGGGTTGAAAGGGGGAAGGCACAGCTGATGGCTTCTAAGGCATACTAACTAGTTGTCCCAGGCAGAAAGAATAGTCAGTTCATGGAAGTAGCCAGCAGGGCTAGAGAAGCCAGAGGGTAACGGGGAGAGTAGAAGAAGATAAAGTCTCTGAAGTATTGGGAGACCAGACCACCTGGGACCCCTCTAGGCCACATGAAGATCATTGGCTTTTACTTTGAGCCACCACAGGATTTGGAGCAGGAACATGCCATAATCTGACATCGTTTTGCAGGGGTCCTCTGATGCAGTGGTGGCACAGGCTGTACACAAGGCAGGGATACATGTCGGAAATTCAGTTAGGAGGATTTGCAGTAACCTAAGGAACAGAGGATGGTAGCTCAGACCAAGGTGGTAGGAATGCAGTGGTAAGAAGTGGGTGCACCCTTTACTTTTAAAAGTAAAACTAACAGATTTTCTGATAAATTGGATATGAGATATGAGATAAAAAGAGGAGTCAAAGATGATGCCAAGTATATTGGCTCCAGCAATGGGCAGGGTGGAGCCATCCTCAGCTGAGATGGGGAAGGCTGTGGGTGGAGATGGTTTGGGGGAGGGACACCAAGAGTTCTGTTTTGGACATGCTGAGTCATCGGCACTCACGTGGAATTTAAATAAAGTCTTACCACTGGATGAAGTCATCAAGGGCAGTGAGTATAGACAGAAAAGAAAAGAGGGTTGGTGACCCTGCCTGGGGACCCTCCAACATCAACAGATTAGAGAGAAGATGGGGAATCAGCAAAGGAGACTGAGAAAGAGTAACCAGTGGGGTAGGAGGAAAACCAGGAATGTGTGGAGTCCTGGAAGCCACATATATTCAGGAAGAGGGAGAGATCAGTTGGGTCAAATGTCACTGACAGGTGAAGTGAGATGAAAGTTGAGAATGGACTATTGGAAAAAATTACTGGAGAGTAGTGATAACCTTGCTAGGAGCAGCGTCTGACTCCTGACCTCGTGGAGTCCCACAGCTTGACTACTGATGGTCAATAAGAACTCCCTTATTATTAATTTTCTCTTCTCAATTAGGTTGTAAACTTTGCAACATCAGGGATGATGAGTCAGTGTATCCCCAGAGCATGAACACTACCCACCAGAATACCCTTTTACCAGGGCACTGACCTATAGCCATTTTCCTCATGCCTGACTTACCTTGGACGCAGAATTTCAGTTCCTTAGGGTCAGTGACAACCTTTCTGCTTTCCCGGATCACAGCCCGGTTCTTTTTGGTTTCTCCCCAGAGATTGGTGCCACCGTACATGCTGGGAATGTTGAGAATGGCAATGCCTTCAAGGAAGATGTTGCTCAGGTCCACTCCAACCCCGTCACACTGTGGGGCAGAGAGAAAAGGTCATCTGTTAGTATCCTCAGTGCATCCCAGTATAAGGTTCTGTGTGGGGGGCGGGGCTCTCGTGAAAGATGTGATGGGCCCTCAGCCACCAGCCTGCTTCTGTCAGTAGCTGAATCTTGGGTAAATTTTCTCGGGCCTAATGCTATGGCCACTGTAGTGAGGTCGAGGAGCTCTAGTCTTGGCCATGTGTGGGGAAAAGAGCAGACTCCAGAGGCCGCCTATAGGTCTAGAAGGGCTTTAGGGATGGTTCACAAGACAATTGCAAACCTGTTTCTCAGTCCAGACTCATTATCATTAATTCTGACCCTTTCTAACCATTGTGAAGATTTGGGTAGGACACTGAGTCCAAAACCTAGCACAGTAGTTTCTCAGCAACGACAAGAAAGTTTCATTTACCACTTTTCATTTTATCCCTCCTGTGAAAGTAGAAGACTAAGAGTTGGACGGCTTTCAGAATTTGCCTGTCTCCGTATCTGCATCCTAAGTGCAGTTTTGGCATATGTGCTTGCTGATGTAGCACAGTTTGTTTACCCAATCTCTACCACCCGCATCCCCCGCCAAGTGCAAAAGGCCAAGAAGGCTTGATTTTGCCTGTCTCATTTATTGATAAATTCAGTCCGCTCTGCCATAATGTTTGTCAATTCAGCAAGAAATACATTAGCTCTGATCCTATTCATCAGGATTGTAGGTACTTTACTTCATTTGCAGAAGAAAAACTGGACCCAGGTGAGCTAAGATTGCACAGCTGAAAAATAACAGAGCAGGGATTCTAAGCTTGGGAATTTCACTACAAAACTCAAGCTCTTCATCTTGCTTATTGTGAGTCAGGAAAAATCAAAAGCATGCAACCAAAATCCATGGTCTTCAAGGTTATTTACAAACCCAGGCTTCTAGAGATTTGTCAGCAGAGGAATAGAAAGGTAGGGGGTGTTGCCATTCACATTGGCTTAGCTTCTGATTTCTTTGAAGTTCTTAATTTATGGTATCTTATGCTCATGACTTGTTTTACCAATTACAAAATGGAATAGAGTGAGCTTCTCTGGTAACTAGGAACTCACTTCTTCATTGGGAAAAAGGTCTCTTTGTTGAATCAGATGCACTTTCTTCCCACCTCAACCCATTAGTCCTATTCTCCTTTCTGAAGCCAGACAGATTGACCCTCGTTCCTCCTTCTTGGGACAACTCACCAGATACCAGATGAAATCATCATCATCGTTGTGCATGTGCATTAAGCATTGCCATCTGCCAAGTGAGCTTTTATAGACATCATATTCATACCTTCATAATAATCTTGTAAGTTAGTTACTATGACTCAAATGATTCTCCTACTACCTGAGACTTTGCTGGAAGCATTCTAATGGCCACTTGGCCAGACCCATGATAGTGAGAGCCTGGCCAGCCAGTACCTGCCTGCCTATTCTTTGCGGTTCTTGAACTAGCCATCACATAATGATTTCCCAGAATCCCAGGCCCGTTTAGATCTCAGGGGAAATCGCCGGATTTGGGAAAGTGGAGCCAACAGTGGTATCCAGTCGGCTTAAATGGAACACAGGCCCTGGGCTGCTCCTGGGCGGGTTTCTGAGCTAAATCCTGCAAAGCTTCCATGACGTCACCAGGCCCCTTCCCGCAGCTCCGACTCGGGGGGCTCCTGGGGAGAGCGCGAGGAGGGCGGTGGTCCCTGAGCGCTCGATTAGCCGTCCCTTAATTTGGGACTGAGCTAGCCGGCAGCCCTCGAGGCTACGCTGCAGTGGAACTCAGGTATTTATAGACCAGTTTTGGGCTGAAACAGAAAGCTCTTGTCTTGGGTAGGGAGACAGACAAACCCGCAACCGTGCTCCGAGTGTGCGTGGGCGGCGAAGTGCTGGATCGCGAGCGTCAGGGTCCGAGGCGGCGCTGCAGGCACTGAACGGGGTGCGGTGCACCAAGGCCAGTCCCGCTCCAGCCCCCTCGGAAGCGGATCGGGAATCTTGCCCGAGACCAGGCCGGGAGCGGCCCGCGCGCGCCTCCGCCCAGGCCGCGCCGCACCGCACCAGCCCGCGGCTGTCGGCCACGTACAATGTTGGTTACCCTTGCTCAGGAGACACCCAGAGTTCTGGTTTCTTTCTGAGCCCAGCATGGTTTGTTTGTTTGGTGGAGGGCCGGTGCATAGGTAACCAGAAACTGGGTTACGAAGCCAAGGCGCAGTTATGTGCAAATGAAATGCACTGGGAATGCGCATTCATCCTCTCCCTCCCAATCCATCTCCCCTCCCCCCATCTCGAATCCCCACAATCGTGGGCAGAACTAGGATCCGCCAAGTTCGCTGTGCACCCTGAGCGAGACTGACAACAGAGGTGAGGGAAGGAGGGCACTGATGCTTCCCTGCCCGGGTTGTGGGCTTTTCCACCCCCTCCCCTCCCGCCGCATTATCCGCTCCCTGCCCTGTGTCCGCCAGCCTCGGTGACCTGAAAAGGCTGCGGATGTGAACCTCCTCTCCCCGGAGCAAGGCCGACTCCAATCAGTCCTGAGGATCCTATTTCTGAAGGTCCTCAGAGAAGGAGATCCCATAATTTATTTGATGACCTGTTTCAGTTTTTAGCAACTAGGAAATTCTCTCTTCTTCTAACCTGATTCACGGTGCCATAGTTACGGGGATTTTCTCTGGTTTAGAGCGCAGATTGAATTGTTTTTTACATACTCCTGCCCTTGGGCTGCGTCTGCTCTCTGGAATGACCTCCACCGGGCGTATCTAAGGGGGAACCCAGGACCCAGTAGCTCTGGGGGCACGTGCCCCCTTTCAGCTTGGTATTTTCTCTCTTAGGTTTCCTCGCACTGTGTTCTATTGATTTGCCTCTCCCATCTTTGATGACTCTTTCTTGGTATTTCTTTTAATCATTTTTTTAAAACGGGTATTTCCAAATATAGAGGGAAGTAGAGAGAATGATAAATCCCACGTACCCAAAATCTCAGCCTCAGCAATTGGCAATTTACAGCTAATCTTGATATAACTCTATCCCAGTTCATTTCCCCACCTCCATAAGGAACTATTTTATAGCAAAGTCCTGATACTCAAGCATTTAATCTATAAATACTTTTGTATGTATCTTTAAATAAGACTCTTAAAAAAAGAAATACACCAACACTATTATCACTCTTAAAAGTAACAATAATTCATTAATACTGATAAATATTCAGTATTTGTTCAAATTTCCTCCATAGTCTCATTTAAAAAAATAATTGGTTTGTCGGAAAGGTATACAGATTAAATTTGGTTGATTGACTTTTAGCTTTTTTTGATCTGTAAGTTCCTTATCCTTTATCCCCTTGTTTTTTAATATTTACTGAAGAAAATGGGTCATTTGTCCTGTCCAGCAGTGCTTCTCAGACTCGAATGTGTGCATGAATCACTGCAGGATTATTAAATGCAGATTTAACTCAGGAGGTCTCAGGCGGGGCCTGAGACTCTGCATTTCCACATGCTCTCTGGTAATACTGATGCTGTGTGTGTGATGGACCACACTTTGAGAAGTATGGCTGTAGCATTTTCGAGATTTTGGATTTCTCTGATTGCATCTCTGAGGTGTCTTTTAAACATTCTCAGTCTATCTCCTCTATTTTCAGTAAATTGATACTTTTAGTTCTAGAGGCCTGATCAGCGGGGTTGTATATTTCCTATTGTACTATTGTATCTCATTAGTTAGCTTGTCTCTCTCTCTCTCTCTCTCTCTCTTTGTGACCTTTAGATTGTTTAGTGGGTTCAAGTGTTGCCCATCCAAATCTTCCATTAGACAGATCTTAATCAGTGGAGGATGATTCTTACTACAGTCCCTTTTTCTGCTTTTCTTTCAAATTTCTACAGATGCCATTTTCTCCATGAATTCTTACCTGCCTACTATCCAAAAAGGATCTCTCTCTCTCTCTGTCTTCTCTGTATCTATGTTCTCATGGAATCAAAGATCTGAAGAGTCTTGAAAGGTCATGCAATACAATCACCACATTTTATAGATGAGAAAAATGGAGGTTTAAAGAGATGAAAGAAATAGTTCAAATCACACAGGTAATCAGGGTCAGGATATCTGGAATTAGACCTCTGGTCATTTGGATTGACAACCAAGAGGTCATGAGTGATTTTGTAAAGAGGAATTTTTGGGCAACTAGATGAAGGCCAAAGCACAGAAAGCCAAATGGAACACCAGATTTGGTAATCTCTAATTGCCAAAATGAGAACAATGAGACCTAGGGTTGGTAAGTGACCTTTCTAGGTCACACAGCTATCTCTTGCAAGAGCTAGGGCTTAACTGGGGACTCTAGGGGTGGTAGTGAGGGAACAGTCAGAATCACCACATGGTTGGGGGACAAATGGGGCAGGAGAGATAAGATTGGATCTAAAAGAGTAATACGATTGAGGAAAAGGTTGTTCACGGATGTTTGAGGCAGAGAAGATACTCAATCAATACTTGTTGGATGAGTGGATAGAGGAAAGAGGACGTTGGGAAAGCAGGTGGAGTGGAAGAGAAGACGCTGAACATGGCGGTGGGATGTTTATGTGCCCTAACCAGGAACTGAACCAGCGAACTTTAGCTTTGGAGGACGACACCCAACCAACTGAGCTACACTGGTCAGGGTGGGGTGGGGGGCATCTTTTGAAGAGGAAATAGGGAAGTGCTAGGCAACTTCTTGGGAAAATAATATTTCAGTTACAGTGGGGAGGAAGGGAGAAAGCTGAGGAAGAGGCGGGTGACATCCGGACACACTTGAATACGGGTTCTGATGGGCTGAGAGGGTGATGGGCAGAAGGAGAGAGGGGCCTCCCTTGATGCTTGGCCTCCATGTCAGAGCTCAGATACACACTCAAGGGCAGAAAGGTGACTAACATAAAGACCTGACCAAGATCGCCCTACCTCCACCACCACCTTTCTTGAGGGATCAGGATGCTGATAGCCATGAGGTGAAGGGGAAGCACCAGTACACTGCTCAGTCCAGCCCCAGGGCCCTGTAGG